CATGACACATACTATAGTATGATATTTATTTCCATTTTCATGACACATACTATAGTATGATGTTTATATCCATTTTCATGACACATACGTTGGTATGATGTTTATTTAAACTTTCATGACACTTTTTAATTTTTTGTTGATGTTTGTTTACATTTTCATGACAAATAAAAAATTTTACATTTTCATTATACATACTATAGTATGATGTTTGTTTAAATTTTCATGATACATACTATAGTATGATGTTTGTTTACATTTTCATGACAAATAAAAAAATTTACATTTTCATGATACATACTATAGTATGATGTTTGTTTACATTTTCATGACAAATAAAAATTTTTACATTTTCATGATACATACTATAATATGATGTTTGTTTACATTTTCATGACACATACTATAGTATGATGTTTATTTCCATTTTCATGACACATACTATAGTATGATGTTTATTTCCATTTTCATGACACATACTATAGTATGATGTTTATTTCCATTTTCATGACACATACTATAGTATGATGTTTGTTTCCATTTTCATAACACATACTATAGTATGATGTTTATTTCCATTTTCATGACACATACTATAGTATGATGTTTATTTCCATTTTCATGACACATACTATAGTATGATGTTTATTTCCATTTTCATGACACATACTATAGTATGATGTTTATTTCCATTTTCATGACACATACTATAGTATGATGTTTATTTCCATTTTCATGACACATACTATAGTATGATGTTTATTTCCATTTTCATGACACATACTATAGTATGATGTTTATATCCATTTTCATGACACATACGTTGGTATGATGTTTATTTAAACTTTCATGACACTTTTTAATTTTTTGTTGATGTTTGTTTACATTTTCATGACAAATAAAAAAATTTACATTTTCATTATACATACTATAGTATGATGTTTGTTTACATTTTCATGACACATACTATAGTATGATGTTTATTTCCATTTTCATGACACAAACTATAGTATGATGTTTATTTCCATTTTCATGACACATACTATAGTATGATGTTTATTTCCATTTTCATGACACATACTATAGTATGATGTTTATTTCCATTTTCATGACACATACTATAGTATGATGTTTATATCCATTTTCATGACACATACGTTGGTATGATGTTTATTTAAACTTTCATGACACTTTTTAATTTTTTGTTGATGTTTGTTTACATTTTCATGACAAATAAAAAATTTTACATTTTCATTATACATACTATAGTATGATGTTTGTTTACATTTTCATGATACATACTATAGTATGATGTTTGTTTACATTTTCATGACAAATAAAAAATTTTACATTTTCATGATACATACTATAGTATGATGTTTGTTTACATTTTCATGACAAATAAAAAATTTTACATTTTCATGATACATACTATAATATGATGTTTGTTTACATTTTCATGACACATACTATAGTATGATGTTTATTTCCATTTTCATGACACATACGTTGGTATGATGTTTATTTAAACTTTCATGACACTTTTTAATTTTTTGTTGATGTTTGTTTACATTTTCATGACAAATAAAAAATTTTACATTTTCATTATACATACTATAGTATGATGTTTATTTCCATTTTCATGACACATACTATAGTATGATGTTTATTTCCATTTTCATGACACATACTATAGTATGATGTTTATTTCCATTTTCATGACACATACTATAGTATGATGTTTATTTCCATTTTCATGACACATACTATAGTATGATGTTTATTTCCATTTTCATGACACATACTATAGTATGATGTTTATATCCATTTTCATGACACATACGTTGGTATGATGTTTATTTAAACTTTCATGACACTTTTTAATTTTTTGTTGATGTTTGTTTACATTTTCATGACAAATAAAAAATTTTACATTTTCATTATACATACTATAGTATGATGTTTGTTTACATTTTCATGACACATACTATAGTATGATGTTTATTTCCATTTTCATGACACATACTATAGTATGATGTTTATTTCCATTTTCATGACACATACTATAGTATGATGTTTATTTCCATTTTCATGACACATACTATAGTATGATGTTTATTTCCATTTTCATGACACATACTATAGTATGATGTTTATATCCATTTTCATGACACATACGTTGGTATGATGTTTATTTAAACTTTCATGACACTTTTTAATTTTTTGTTGATGTTTGTTTACATTTTCATGACAAATAAAAAATTTTACATTTTCATTATACATACTATAGTATGATGTTTGTTTACATTTTCATGATACATACTATAGTATGATGTTTGTTTACATTTTCATGACAAATAAAAAATTTTACATTTTCATGACACATACTATAGTATGATGTTTGTTTACATTTTCATGACAAATAAAAAATTTTACATTTTCATGATACATACTATAGTATGATGTTTGTTTACATTTTCATGACACATACTATAGTATGATGTTTATTTCCATTTTCATGACACATACGTTGGTATGATGTTTATTTAAATTTTCATGACACTTTTTAATTTTTTGTTGATGTTTGTTTACATTTTCATGACAAATAAAAAATTTTACATTTTCATTATACATACTATAGTATGATGTTTGTTTACATTTTCATGATACATACTATAGTATGATGTTTGTTTACATTTTCATGACAAATAAAAAATTTTACATTTTCATTATACATACTATAGTATGATGTTTGTTTACATTTTCATGACACATACTATAGTATGATGTTTATTTCCATTTTCATGACACATACGTTGGTATGATGTTTATTTAAACTTTCATGACACTTTTTAATTTTTTGTTGATGTTTGTTTACATTTTCATGACAAATAAAAAAATTTACATTTTCATTATACATACTATAGTATGATGTTTGTTTACATTTTCATGATACATACTATAGTATGATGTTTGTTTACATTTTCATGACAAATAAAAAATTTTACATTTTCATTATACATACTATAGTATGATGTTTGTTTACATTTTCATGACACATACTATAGTATGATGTTTATTTCCATTTTCATGACACAAACTATAGTATGATGTTTATTTCCATTTTCATGACACATACTATAGTATGATGTTTATTTCCATTTTCATGACACATACTATAGTATGATGTTTATTTCCATTTTCATGACACATACTATAGTATGATGTTTATATCCATTTTCATGACACATACGTTGGTATGATGTTTATTTAAACTTTCATGACACTTTTTAATTTTTTGTTGATGTTTGTTTACATTTTCATGACAAATAAAAAATTTTACATTTTCATTATACATACTATAGTATGATGTTTGTTTACATTTTCATGATACATACTATAGTATGATGTTTGTTTACATTTTCATGACAAATAAAAAATTTTACATTTTCATGATACATACTATAGTATGATGTTTGTTTACATTTTCATGACAAATAAAAAATTTTACATTTTCATGATACATACTATAATATGATGTTTGTTTACATTTTCATGACACATACTATAGTATGATGTTTATTTCCATTTTCATGACACATACGTTGGTATGATGTTTATTTAAACTTTCATGACACTTTTTAATTTTTTGTTGATGTTTGTTTACATTTTCATGACAAATAAAAAATTTTACATTTTCATTATACATACTATAGTATGATGTTTATTTCCATTTTCATGACACATACTATAGTATGATGTTTATTTCCATTTTCATGACACATACTATAGTATGATGTTTATTTCCATTTTCATGACACATACTATAGTATGATGTTTATTTCCATTTTCATGACACATACTATAGTATGATGTTTATTTCCATTTTCATGACACATACTATAGTATGATGTTTATATCCATTTTCATGACACATACGTTGGTATGATGTTTATTTAAACTTTCATGACACTTTTTAATTTTTTGTTGATGTTTGTTTACATTTTCATGACAAATAAAAAATTTTACATTTTCATTATACATACTATAGTATGATGTTTGTTTACATTTTCATGACACATACTATAGTATGATGTTTATTTCCATTTTCATGACACATACTATAGTATGATGTTTATTTCCATTTTCATGACACATACTATAGTATGATGTTTATTTCCATTTTCATGACACATACTATAGTATGATGTTTATATCCATTTTCATGACACATACGTTGGTATGATGTTTATTTAAACTTTCATGACACTTTTTAATTTTTTGTTGATGTTTGTTTACATTTTCATGACAAATAAAAAATTTTACATTTTCATTATACATACTATAGTATTATGTTTGTTTACATTTTCATGATACATACTATAGTATGATGTTTGTTTACATTTTCATGACAAATAAAAAATTTTACATTTTCATGATACATACTATAGTATGATGTTTGTTTACATTTTCATGACAAATAAAAAATTTTACATTTTCATGATACATACTATAGTATGATGTTTGTTTACATTTTCATGACACATACTATAGTATGATGTTTATTTCCATTTTCATGACACATACGTTGGTATGATGTTTATTTAAACTTTCATGACACTTTTTAATTTTTTGTTGATGTTTGTTTACATTTTCATGACAAATAAAAAATTTTACATTTTCATTATACATACTATAGTATGATGTTTGTTTACATTTTCATGATACATACTATAGTATGATGTTTGTTTACATTTTCATGACAAATAAAAAATTTTACATTTTCATTATACATACTATAGTATGATGTTTGTTTACATTTTCATGACACATACTATAGTATGATGTTTATTTCCATTTTCATGACACATACGTTGGTATGATGTTTATTTAAACTTTCATGACACTTTTTAATTTTTTGTTGATGTTTGTTTACATTTTCATGACAAATAAAAAATTTTACATTTTCATGATACATACTATAGTATGATGTTTGTTTACATTTTCATGACACATACGTTGGTATGATGTTTATTTAAACTTTCATGACACTTTTTAATTTTTTTTGTTGATGTTTGTTTACATTTTCATGACAAATAAAAAAAATTACATTTTCATGATACATACTATAGTATGATGTTTGTTTACATTTTCATGACACATACTATATCGTATTAAATTATGTATCATGAAAATGTAAAAAAAATTGGCACTGTATAAATAAACTTGAATTAAATTGAAGCGCCTCATGATTTTTATCTTGAGAGGCGCTATAGAAATGATATTTTCTTCTTCTTCTTGAATTGAATTGAATGAGCCTCACAAACTGGCAACTGCTGCAGGAATCCAGATTTCCTTCAGAGCATCTGGGTCTCCCTCAACCATCTCTTTCCTTTTTTGCGGTCCTTTAAAGTAAAACGAAGAAATCTTTTTTAAAGCTCTCAACGGGCCATACACTCCACCCCACAGCAAGTGTAAACCATCTGCTTAACCAAATACTCCTCCAAATGTGCAAAACAATTGAAATATAGGCAAAAAAATGTTGTTTTGCCACTTATTCCCATGATGTAATGCAAGAAAAACAAACATTGAGGTCACAAAAGTTCCTTATGAATTTTTTTCTTTTAATGACACTTGATATAGTATGATGTTCTTTTACCTATTTATTCACATAGATTTATTGATTGATTGAAACATTTATTTTTCAGTCCCATCCCCTTACACCTCAGATATACAATATACATATTTAATGTAACATCTCAGCTAACACAGCTAATACGTAAAATAATAATGCTACTTTTCTTTTTTATAACATATTACATGTTTGTTTTCCATAAAAATAATAATTCTCTTCAACTAACAAATATAATATTCACACTAGTAATCACAACTGCAATAATCATAACAAAATTACAACAATAATAATTACAACTAAACTAAAACATGCTGGATACTGAGATTTTCTGATCCTAACCTCCAATCTATTCCAACCTACTTAATAATACAACAAATATCCTTATAAAATGAAGTTAATGAATATTTGTGCCATTCTTTACTGATTACAATTAATTTTCATATGTTACAATATGACGATTCAGTAGATACAATATTCTCCTAACGTCCTGGCACAGCAACATAAAAATTGTGCATATTCATGAAATAAATTCAAAACCACACTGATACTATATGTATATGTACTAGTTAAGACCTCCTACAGACGTGGTCTGGACCGACAGTCTCAGTATAGACAAGATCTGCATGTCCATGCGACGTTGGCGGTTTGCAGGGACGTGTGCATATTAGCTGTGTTCATGAGGAGAAGCAGGTGGAGTAAAAAGAAGGGAACCACTTTATTTTATATAGTGCCTTAGTTTTCTGTTTGATTAATTTCATTTAGACAATGTCCGTTTCCACAAGTTTCAGATTTTTTATGTAAAGTAGTTTGATCCAAACATATTATTTTTTTGTATTCTGATTTCACAAATCAGTTTGCTGAAAATAAATAAATTAATTAATTATTAAAAACCTGAAAAAACAAATCAAGGTTTGCAGATTTGTAGGAGGCTTTATTTATTTATTTTGCATCTGTTTGGTCCATGAATGGCACAAAAACCTTAAAAGTTCAAAAATGTAAAATCTTGGTTTTGTTGCTTGGTTTAAATGCAAAATTTTGCATGGTTGTCTTGAAAAACTTCATGGATACTAAATCAATTAACAATGAGAAACTTTTCAAAGTGCATCATTTTATAATACCATAAAGTGTGGGGGGTGGGATCTGGGAATGATTTAATTTGCTTTGATTGGCAATAACCATCAATTTACCCTAATTCGTATTTAAGAAATTTACTCTTTTCCACTCAGAAGAAAACAATTATTCAAGTAAAATTTGCCAAATTTTCTAATATTGTGTAAGGTTATGAAGTTCATTATTTTCAGCTCCACACAGCTGCCCTGTGCACAGTAACACCCGTGTTGAAAACACAATTGTAAACGAAATGTATGTATCAAAACAAAAGAGTCTGCCACTCCCCCTCTCAGTGTCATGGTTACTGCCAGTTATAGATCAGCGCCAAGATTCTAGATGACGTGAAAAGTCAAGCACAGTTAGTTGATAATTAGATGTGATATTGAGTTGATTGAAAAAGTAGCTTGATGTATTTTTTGAGCTAACTCTTTGCTTCTATTTCACTGTTAGCATTGTTAGCTCAACATTGGGCTCTAGCCTTCTTTACCCAATATTGGAGTAAAACAAAAAAAATGCTGTGTCATCTTAGGGGTACAAGAAACAATTTCTGAGTCGCTCCTGTTCACTGGCTTCAGTTCTTTGCTGCATTTTACCATCTGGCATCAAATTACAAATGCCAGCACAGTGTTATTGTTGAAGACTTGGCAATTTTGTGGGCTCTCATTTGATTGGCTCTGGAAGCAGGAAGTATAGAGGAGGTACAGATCGTAAGCAATGACTATGTCCCCGTTCGGCCATTTTATAAGGATAAGACCTGGCAACCACCCCGCCAGCTTTTTCTTTGTAACCTTCCTTCCAACATTTTTGAGACTTTGGAATGTTTTCTGATCACTGCTAAATTCTTACTTATTGCACCTTTAAAGTTCAATTAGAAAATAAAAATGAAGGGAATAAACTATTAATCCCAAAACCAAAACCTTTAGACAAAGGAACAATTAGCAAATGTGTTTCAATAGGAAAATAGTTCAGGGCTTTAGTAAAAATTTAATATTTATTTGTCATTTAATAAATGTTTTGTGATCAGAGGAGAAGTCAGTATGTGTCAGAAGCCCTCTCTACTCTCCAGGTTTACTCTTGTTTTGTGCGTACCCATCACATAAATAAAGCTCTAATTTGCATGTTATGTTCCTGAAGAGTCACAGACCTTCAAACATGCACATCTATCCTCATATCAGCCCTCTTGACCTGTAACGGTAGCGCGACTCGTGTTGCGAATGACCACAGTCATCCAATTCCTGTCATGTGTCTATGTCTGTATGTCTGATCTTGGAAATGTATGTAGTGAAACAATTGAATTTCCCTCCAGGATTATTAAAGTATTTTTGAATTGAATTGAATTGAATAAGAGATTTTCTGGGTCACTCCACCTATAAATTTACTCAGTTATGTCCTCTACTTGAACCGTTTCACCCTCTTTCCTTGAAAGCATTTCAGGGCAAAGAGCCTTTAACTTTAGCAATTCTCCTTGGTAATTTCCCCAACATCCAGTTCGTGTCCATAAACAATTCAGGCGACCTGCCAAACCGACCACAAGGTTCCTAGAGTGATGCTGTAGGCCACCACAGCCACCAGGTAGACCCTGAATAACAGAACGTCCAGGATGTATCCAACCTGGAGCCACTCCTTGGCAATTTCCCGACACCGATCCCTCTTCTCCAAGAAGTGGCGAATCGCTGTCACCTCCTGAAGGATGTTGTCCATGACGGGCGGGGTGTTGTCTCTGGGAGGGGGCAGACGCAGGCCGAGCATTCCACTGTCCCTGTCTTGCTGGCTGAGCCTTTGGCCGATGTCACAGGTGTGATGGTGAGAACACTGAGCTGCAGGACGAGACACAGGTTTGGGGATTTGGGGCAAACACCTACAGAGATCGTCTAAAAGCAAAAAACATCTCTTCGATTTTGCTTGTAGGATCTCTTGAGTTCATTAAAGCACATAATGACAGTAATATACATATATATATATATATATATATATATATATATATATATATATATATATATATATATATATGTACATATTGGTCAAAAAACATCTCTGCACATCCGAAATACTTCAGACCATGCATGTGCATAGCTTCATGAGCCTTACCAGTCCCATAATTGTTTTCCTTGTAATGCTCCAGGTCAGAGGCATGTGTCGACAGCCTGGAACAGAATCTGTGCTTTTTGTGGATGCAGAAGAGAACCGGAGCTCTTTCCAGCACCAAGTACTTCACCCAGTGGGGGACAGGTGGCTGCAGGTCCTGCTTGTGGACCAGACGTACAATCAGCACCGTTTCTGTTAGGCTGATCACCAGAAGAGCCATGCAGACCACAAAATAAACACCTGCAGGACAGGCAAGAGGAGACAACTAGTCTTTGTGACCATTGCATTAGACCGACATATCATCCATAGTGTTGTGGAACATCATGGATCACCTATGAGCGGCGTTCCGATGGCAGTGGCAGGAAGAGTGTCGGACACGATGATGAGGAAGACAGAGTATCCCAGCAGCAGGGTGATCTTAAAGGAAACTCTCTCTCCGCTGTCCGGTGGCAGATAGAAACCAACAATGTCCATCACCATCAGGAAGACGCTGGGAAGCAGCAGGTTGACGGTGTAGAACAGCGGCCTCCGTCGGATCACCACCTGGGAATACAGCTTTCTGTTAGATATAGACTCTGTTAAACTCTTTGCAGCAGGAAATGTGAATTTAGAAACACTTCATCAATTAAAAAAAAACATTAATTAACTAGTATATTCACATTTAGGTAGAATTTCAACAACCTTATTTCTAAATTACGGTAACTTCTCATTTTTATGATTCGTAATTTTAAATAAATCATGTTGCTGCCTTCAAATTCCCCGTTTTGATTTGTTGTTTTTGTTTTAATTTTGTCAACATTTAGATGATTTAAATGGTTTTAAAGATCTCTGCGCTCACGTGGAACTTCATCTCAGCGTAGTAGTCGTCGTTGTCCACGCTGAAGATCTTGTAGTTGGACAGTATGTGAAGCAGCTCCCACTCTCCCTGGTTCATGAAGACGCTTTTGTCGTCCCTGAGCTTCTCGGGGCTCCGCATCAGGGTGATGTTGATGTCATCGACTGCAGATCAAACACAGAAGCAGGAGCAGCAGGAAGCCACGGATGGATGCAGCAAGGAGAAACAGCTGAAGATCTATAGATCTGTCTATTTTTACTCAAGGAAATAAAAAGTATTTCACGGTTTCTTTAATTCAAAACAAGTGTGCATGTGTTTCCGTACTAGTGTGGAGCCAGCTCTGGAAGGTGAGGCTGCATTTCTGGACATCGAAGGGGAAGTTGTAGATGTTGAGGGTGCAGGCGGTGACCACCTGGATGGGTTTGTAGTTCTGCACCAGTCCCTCATGTGTAACATACACGTAAGGAATATCCGGAGACTTCCCCACGTCCACGCTGCAGGTCAGAAACACCAGTAACAATCAGGAATTCTCCTTATTTAGTTCAAAACGACAAGAGAAAAACACATATCTTACAACTCATTGATGAGGATGTCGGGAACCCAGACGTTAGCTGTGGGGATGGAAATCTGTTTGACTTCATCAAAATCTTCTGGATCCCAAACCAGGAATTCATCCGTCCAGGACTACGAATCAATGGGAGCAAAAAGATGAATGTAAATAAAAACAATTATTCGTCTGTTATAGAGCCAACTACAGTTGTTAGACAGAATAAACGAGCTAGTGCTTTTACCTGCCGGTACCACACGTACGTGGTCAAAACCTGGTTCTTCTCGTCCTTCAGTGGAACACATAAATAAATCAGAGCTGTTTGAAATGACCTTTTATGAGAACACAATAGTCAATTCGAGCTTATCACAATAATGCATTCATTTAAACTGGGAAACAACTCACCACGTTGAGAATGGAGTAAACCATCAGGTCTATGGACACGATGGTGGACGTCCTCCAGTCCTTCACTGGTCTCACTCCTTTCTTATATCCCGCACTCAGAAACTCCGCCAGACGAACCAAGGTGGCGTTGGCAAACCTTCCACTGTTGCTGCCCAACTTTTTAACTGAAGGTTGTAAAACATTCACGGGACGGCGTTAGGTTATAAACAGTAAAAACTTCACTTTTAATATGAAATGTGCAACTATTAAAGGTTTAATTTGAAATCTAATCTGGTTTATTTTGTCTGATCTTGTTCTTTATTGTCGTATAAATGGTTTCACCTGAAATGAGTCAAAATTATGTTTTAAGGTTGATTAAAGCAAACTAGATTAGCAATAATCTAATAATAGTAATGATAGTAATAAAGTAATAATCTTCATATGCAAAACTAATCATCGCTAGAACACTATACCATGCCATAGTTTATTTATTTAGCACATTTAAAATGCAGCATGGGAGCTGCCCAAAGTGCTGCACAGGGTGGACCAAGTCACAAACAACCAAAGCAACAAAAACCGAAGATAAAAATAACAATCAATAAAAGCAAATAAAACATGAGGAATACTAAGAACACAACTAAATAATCAAACAAGTCGTGGTCTAAAAGCCAAATCGTAAAGGTGGGTCTTTAAACGAGATTTAAAAACCGCCAATGATGGAGCCCGTCCAGTTATACCAGGCAGAGAGCTCCACAGCTCTGGGGCATCATACCGTCATATCTTCGCTCATTACTCATCACTTCCAACAACCAGCACAATTTAAGTTCCATTAACTTAATCTCTATGGTTATTCCCAAAGCTCGAACCTCCTTTGGATGCTCCTCATTCCAGTTTGCTGCTTCCAACGACTGGAATGAGCTGCAGAAATGACTAAAGCTCACTACCTACATTCCATCATCTACCTTCAATAATTCACTGTGATCAATAGTTTCTGATAATCGTGTCTGCTTCGAGTACTTAAGTCTGTCGTGAATGCGTGTACGTACGAGAACCGTCCTTTGTCTTTATGTAACTCTTCTTACCTTATTTTGATCGTGTTCATCTGTTTTTCTTTGGTTTCAAGCTGATTATGTCTGTTGCTGCTCAGCCACCCAGACACAATCAAATTAAAGCAATCACATTATAACATCATAACTTTATTGATCCAACAACGTAACTTTCAGGTTTGTACAACATACTGTCATGTTCAAGATTTCCATGTTCAGATAATATACATGTTTATCACATTAGAACAATATAAATATTACATTTGTACAAACATGATAATATTGTACAAATGTGATAACATTGTGTAATAACAATAGAGTTGAGATGTTATGATGTGATATCGCTCTCAGCTTCCGTAGTTTCCCACGAAGCCCACGTAAACAAAACTTGTTTTGAGCTGCAAATGAAAAATGACAACTTATTGTTTTTTGACAAATATCAGAAAAAAGTTTGTTTTTTCACAAGAAAAAAGTCAGAATTCTGGGATTAAAATGAGGATTTGCACTGTTTTCTGAGATTAAAGTCAGAAATATCTCATTTACAAAAGAGACTTGTCTTTTTTTTAAACTGACACTTTTTTCCATTTTTTAAGTTTTAAAATTTTGAAAATAAACAAATAAATCTTTAGCAAAAAATTATAAAAATAAAACAATACAGATGTTATAGTCTCTCAAAAATATGAATATTTGTGAAAAACTATAAAAAATCTAAAGATTAATAGATCTAAAAATATTGTTTTTTTGTACAGTTTTGTTGTTAAAGCAAGTTTTAAAGAAAAAACTAATTGAAAAGTTGCTTAAACCTGCATTTTCTATTATATCTTAGATCTATATTTCTTTTGTATTTAGAGTTACAACCACAGTTTGTTTTATTTAACATTTTATATTTGTATTTTCTATTTGAAGCTAAAGTTATTAAGAGACATTGTGCAGGGCCCGATGAGCCACTAGTGACTCCAGAGCCTCAGGATGCAGACCCCTCAATTTTTATCATTTCTTATTGATTCACATTTTAAATTCTAATTTAATAATTTACACGTCAGACAAAAAGAGTCACACTGATTCCAGAGTAGCTTAAGGTCAGGGAATAATAAAGGAACTTCAGTCGCTATAAAACCTGGTAACTATTCCTTCTGACCAGAACAGATTTACAGTAAATGTGATGAGGTCTGAGGAGTCGAGTCTCTGACTAAAGTTACACTGAAGTAAGAAGCACCTGTACCTGTGCAGGCTTCAGATCCTCCATGGATCAGAAGGATGAGAAGAGTCGTCCAGCCTGACGGGAGCCTCATGATGCTGCTGCGATGATCTTCCTGTCACTCTGATGAAAGGCCTCAGCACACCTGACACTCCTCTCCTCCATGTCTGTCGGCTGCACACATCACCCCCTCACATCCTCTATGAAATCCTTGTTAGTGTCTCCTGACGATCCTCTGATGCCGCTCCACCTCCTCCTCCCTGTTCAGTAACGCTGCACTGCAATGGAGCGGAACAGGCAGAGAAATCCAAGCAAGAGCGCTGTGACCAGATCGTATATCACGTCTGAGAAATGATTTCATTAGGTTCTGCAACAACAATGAAACCGTATCTGGCAGTGATTATACGCTACAGAGCTTTTAGCCTGGACTGTTATCTCACCTGAAAATGACGAGCTACTCAGTGGCTCCATCTCTGCTAAACCTGTTTCTGTTGAGGCTCACAACTTTGTATGAATAAAGGAAAAAGTTGAGCTTTATTTAGTAGCTACGTGCAGTCATGATGACAACAAAAATGTCAAACATCTGATTGGATTAAATCAAACAGGAAACAGTTAAAGAAATTGTGAATTAGAGGAAACTGGGGAGTATATGTGGAGGGATGAGAGGAAACTGGGGAGTATATGTGGAGGGATGAGAGGAAACTGGGGAGTATATGTGGAGGGATGAGAGGAAACTGGGGAGTATATGTAGAGGGATGAGAGGAAACTGGGGAGTATATGTGGAGGGATGAGAGGAAACTGGGGAGTATATGTAGAGGGATGAGAGGAAACTGGGGAGTATATGTGGAGGGATGAGAGGAAACTGGGGAGTATATGTAGAGGGATGAGAGGAAACTGGGGAGTATATGAGGAGGGATGAGAGGAAACTGGGGAGTATATGTAGAGGGATGAGAGGAAACTGGGGAGTATATGTGGAGGGATGAGAGGAAACTGGGGAGTATATGTAGAGGGATGAGAGGAAACTGGGGAGTATATGTGGAGGGATGAGAGGAAACTGGGGAGTATATGTAGAGGGATGAGAGGAAACTGGGGAGTATATGAGGAGGGATGAGAGGAAACTGGGGAGTATATGTAGAGGGATGAGAGGAAACTGGGGAGTATATGTGGAGGGATGAGAGGAAACTGGGGAGTATATGTGGAGGGATGAGAGGAAACTGGGGAGTATATGTAGAGGGATGAGAGGAAACTGGGGAGTATATGAGGAGGGATGAGAGGAAACTGGGGAGTATATGTAGAGGGATGAGAGGAAACTGGGGAGTATATGTGGAGGGATGAGAGGAAACTGGGGAGTATATGTGGAGGGATGAGAGGAAACTGGGGAGTATATGTAGAGGGATGAGAGGAAACTGGGGAGTATATGTAGAGGGATGAGAGGAAACTGGGGAGTATATGTGGAGGGATGAGAGGAAACTGGGGAGTATATGTGGAGGGATGAGAGGAAACTGGGGAGTATATGTGGAGGGATGAGAGGAAACTGGGGAGTATATGTGGAGGGATGAGAGGAAACTGGGGAGTATATGTGGAGGGATGAGAGGAAACTGGGGAGTATATGTGGAGGGATGAGAGGAAACTGGGGAGTATATGTGGAGGGATGAGAGGAAACTGGGGAGTATATGTAGAGGGATGAGAGGAAACTGGGGAGTATATGTGGAGGGATGAGAGGAAACTGCGGAGTATATGTGGAGGGATGAGAGGAAACTGGGGAGTATATGTGGAGGGATGAGAGGAAACTGGGGAGTATATGTGGAGGGATGAGAGGAAACTGCGGAGTATATGTGGAGGGATGAGAGGAAACTGGGGAGTATATGTGGAGGGATGAGAGGAAACTGGGGAGTATATGTGGAGGGATGAGAGGAAACTGGGGAGTATATGTGGAGGGATGAGAGGAAACTGGGGAGTATATGTGGAGGGATGAGAGGAAACTGGGGAGTATATGTGGAGGGATGAGAGGAAACTGGGGAGTATATGAGGAGGGATGAGAGGAAACTGGGGAGTATATGTGGAGGGATGAGAGAAAACTGGGGAGTATATGTGGAGGGATGAGAGAAAACTGGGGAGTATATGTGGAGGGATGAGAGGAAACTGGGGAGTATATGTGGAGGGATGAGAGGAAACTGGGGAGTATATGTGGAGGGATGAGAGGAAACTGGGGAGTATATGTGGAGGGATGAGAGGAAACTGGGGAGTATATGTGGAGGGATGAGAGGAAACTGGGGAGTATATGTGGAGGGATGAGAGGAAACTGGGGAGTATATGAGGAGGGATGAGAGGAAACTGGGGAGTATATGTGGAGGGATGAGAGGAAACAGTGGTAGAGGTGCTTTGTGGGCGGGCCGTGTTGGGGGCGGGGGGTAAATAGCATCCTAGATACGCAGTGAGGTGCATTAAAGTAGTGAAAAGAATAAATAAAAATACATATTTTAAAATCCCATTTCAAACAGTGGTGTGAAACAGAACGTGTGTTTATCTGACCCAACACCAGACCTGGACATGAACTTGGTGTCAGAAAGGCTTCAGCGACCCAGACAGCAGGTCTCAAGAGTCTAAATGTCTAAGTCAGACTCAGTCAGTATTTTCTGTCCAGCAATAATTAAGATTTTTGTCAGATTTACCTTTAGGATCACACATTTATTAAAGCAATTTGCCTTGGAGAAATAATCTGCTGTCAACTGCAGCCAGCTGTGTGAGAAGACGAGCGATCACAGACACGAGTGTCCCTGAGAACTCAGTACCTTCCTGCACCTTACAGCAAAAAGCTGCACCACCTCATGTTATCTCACCTTTAGTCCAAAACGGGGAACCCAGTTCTTATCTGCAGAACGACAATATTTGAAATGAGGTAAATGATCTTAAATATGATTAAATGTTTTTGTTTTTAATAAAATAAAGCCAGTGGGGTAAAATTAGCTGAATAATGTAATATAATAAAACTCTAAAACACATCAATGACAAAACCTGAGAGATGGTGGGATCAGGTCTTTTATTTCCTGTTTGAGGGTTAATTCATCCAACGTCACTCAAAATAAACATTATTCCTGTTTATTTTAAAGCACATTAAAATGATCTTTTTGCTTTGAACTTGAATGAGACTGGTGTCTAAAGCACCTAAAACTTCTGTAATGTTGTCCAACATCCTGTAACCAGATCCACCTGAAGAGCGTTTGCAAACACCATCAAAATTGCATTACGCTGGATTGTTCCAGCAGCAGCTTTTCTAAAATGCACTTTTAATATTCTTATCACGACTATTAGAAACCCAACAGGGAACAGAGACGCAGCAGCTCACATTCGAACGGTTTCACTGATCTATTTAGTGGCAGAAGGACGGAGATTAAAGTGTGAACATGATATCATAACTCCACACAGGCAGAGAGGATTTTCCTCCAGAGAACCGTCGTATCGTACCGGATCTCTGAGTAAATCTGCACTGTCGGGATGTTTTATCTGAAGTAATAAGTGCAAACATTTAAACAAACCTTTTTTTTTATCACGTTTGGTTTTAAAATATAACCAAAACTTGAGAAATTATCATTTTAACCAAGAAAAGGTACATTTTTTCTGGATCTTAGACCATGACAGCTTAGTGGTTTGCTAACATCTCAAGTAAAACTCCAGCTGGCCCAGAGCAGCACCAGAGTTCCTGTGTACAAGGCCAGAACCAGCAGGTAGAGGTGGAACAATAAGCGATCGAGCCTCAAGCAGAGACCCAGCCATTCGGCCTGAGCTGAAGAGTCGCTGTCCTCCTGAGAAAGAGCTAGGCGAAGGGAAACCAGCTCCTGGAGAAGCCAGTTCAGTCCAGACGGGGGGTCCTGGATCTCATTCAGGGACAGCAGGTCCTCCTCGAAAGAGCTTTCAAGCTCAAAATCTAAGAGACAATCAAAAGAATTAGGTTTGAGATTCTTCAGTTCAATTCAATTCAGAGATACTTTATTAATCCCAGAGGGAAATTAGAGTTTCAGTACACACAGTTCTGAGATCAGACATACATGCATAGACACAAGACAAGAACTGGTGACCTTTTCATTACATGTATTACACAAGAATTATTTGTTTAAACTTTCCAGCACGGATAAACGTTCATATCTTCTTTTCATGCTCTCAGAGAAAAATCCTTGGCTACAGACGGAACAGACTGGTTTATTTAATATCCCGCTGGCAGAGCTCGTCGAAATCCGAGCACATTGTGTACCTCCAGATGTGTTGATGCGATCGAGGGTTTTGATGGAGGTTAAAGCACTCTCGGGGAAGCTGTGGCCAGCTGAGCTGTACTTGTCCAGCAGGCAGGCAGTCAATGACATTTCCTTGACCTCCATCTCACTGTGATGGAGCAGCTTCACCACCAATATCGACTTGATGAGACTGAGCATGAGCATGGCCATGCACACCACAAAGAACACACCTGAGCAGAAAGCAAATCAGGACAAAAACACCCTCTTTTTTTTACCAGCACTCATTTATGATCATCTGGTTTGTCCAAAAGGTTCAGTTCATTTTTATTTCAAATATTTCACACATCTATCGTTACGAAATATCATCCATTATTTGTTTGAAAAGGAGCAGGCAGAAGTATTTACTCATTTGTCCCTACCCCCAACTTCAACCTCTTATTCATTTAATTTTATTTCAGTCTTAATTTAAACAAACAACATTTGAGTGAAAAAAAAAAAAATAAATAAAAATAAATATATATATATATATATAACAAAAAACAAAACAACATATGAAAAACAGAGAATGTGTAAATTTGCAGATTCACCAGTTATGGAAAGAACAAAAATAAACCAAAAACACAGAAAAAGAAGCACTACAGCATAACCAGCCCCATTACCATCCTGGGTTAAACCTGTTTTCTTCATTCTTATACTTATTTAAAATTAGGTTTTTGTATTTTACTTTAAACTTGTTTATGTTTTTACTTTCTTTTATCTCTTCTGTTAGACCGTTCCATAATTTAACTCCTGCAATTGTGATTGACACAGTTTTTAAAGTTGTTCTAGTACTTTGTATTTTTAAATTCCATTTCCCTCTTAAATTATACCCACCTTCTCTTTCTTTGAACAATAAACAGATTTCTTTTGGAAGCAATTTATTTCTTACATTAGACATTATTTGCGCTGTTTTGAGCTTCACCGAGTCTTGGAAATTAATAGCTTGCATTTCAACAAAGAGTGCATTTGTATGGTCCCTGTACCCCACATTGTTTATTATTCTAATAAAGGTATAACTTAATTATTGAAAGGGACATAAAAACTTACCTTATGCATATTTTGTGCTGCCATGTTGATCTTTACTCAAAACATGAAACAAATATGCCCATTCATTTTCTGTCAGTGTTAGTTTTAGGAATTATGTACATAACACAAGCTGTTTCAAAATGTCCTCATTTGTGATGTCACAAACGAGGACGTTAGCGTAGAACCACCTCTGAAGGCTAGAGAAGCAACAGCTCTACTCTGGGCCCCTCCCAGATGTCTGGGCTTCTCAGCCTATAGCAGCCTGTGTGATGGCTGGGTGGGTGTGACTTGTTTTCTTCAAGTCACAGAGCACTGAAATGACTCATTCTGGAAAGTACTGAAAATGTCAAGAATCAAACTGCTGAAATATCTTTATGTAAGAGGGTCGGTCCAGAGAACTTCATAAATATGTTTTGTATCAATCGTAGAACTGTTAGGACTCAGGAAAAAAGGTCATAATATGTCCTCTTTACATTTTTCTAACATTGACGTTACTCTGTTCAAAGGTTAAAGATTGAGTTCTTGCAATGACTGAACCTGGTACAAAAATGGACCTTCAAGGCCAACGTTCTTTTGTTGTTGTATTACTAACGTAAGCTGAGTAAGTACATCAGTGGTTTATCTGTTTAGTTTAGAAACAGTTTCTGTCATTGTGAAAATTTATTTAAAACTAATATCTGGAGTTTTACTGGTTATAATGAATTGGAAAAGAAAATAGTCAGGTGACCATGGTTTTTAGTTTTGCACACTTGGATGAAAACAAATAACACTTCCAAAAAATGTTGGTCAAAAAACGGCACCTCGTACCGATGAGAGGAGTCCTGACGGCTGAAGTAGGCAGCTCATCGGTCAGGTTGACCCTGAAGACAGTGTAACCCAACAGGATGCTGATCTTGAAGGCGATTCTTGTTCCGCTGTTCAGAGGCAGGTAGAAACTCACCACATCGACCAGCATGAGGAAGATGCTGGGGATGAGGAGGCCCACCACATACAGCAGGGGGCGTCGGCGGATCAAGAGCTGGATTGAAAACAGGAGCAGACAAAGCTTCATGTGTGTCAGCGCATGAATCTTAAAATTTTACTTTAAAGTTATCAAATCAGGATTGACAAGAAACTTTTTCTACTTTGCTGAACAATAAAGTAAATGTGAGGGCCAAAGTGAGAAGCTGAGCCAAGGCACAGCAGAGAGGGACTGTCATAGTTTCAAGCCTGGATTTGAAAGCTATCAAAGTTATGCTTCAACTAGTTTGCTCATTAGCCCTGAAAAATCATCACTTACATTTAAACACTCTTTCAGATCCAGTTTCAGCTGGTGGTGGTCGGAGGGACCGGTGGCGCCAGAGCTCGGCAGCCTCGCCTCTGTCAGTGCGCCCCAGGGCAGCTGTGGCTACACCGTAGCTCATCCCCACCAGTGTGTGAATGTGTGTGTGAATGGGTGAATGACTGATTGTGTTGTAAAGCGCCTTGGGGGGTTCCAGGACTCTAGAAGGCGCTATATACAGCCATTTACCATTTTACTATCAAATACATTTATTTCTAAATTCCAATTTTGCATCAACATACAGGATATGTCTGTATACATCAGAAATACTGCTCATTTAAATTGTATGCTGTTTCATTTCATTTTCTGATTACCCCTCAAAAATAAAACAAATTTACTTACAATTTTTTTAAGGAAGCCATTTGATTGGGTGGGCCCTGGTCCACACCGGGCCCCCCATAGCCACACCCCTGCCATGGCTATGGGGGTTTTGTGAATGGACAAAAAACTCTAGTTTGAGGTGTTTTTGTTTGTTAGGCACAACTGGCATAAGCAGATGTCATATTTTTCACAGACAATGTTTAAAGTTTAAGTAACAATGACTGAAGAGATGCTAGTTACCCAAAATCATTTAGTTTTTCCATTTAGGAGGGGCGTTAAATAATATCAGCTTATTGATGTCAGAAATTAACAGACTGAATCAGTAAATCAGAATAAAAGCCGACATCAAACGTCCCTGTAAGAAAGCAACAGTCATTCTCTGTTCTGTGAAATGAAAGCAGCAGTTAGCCAACTGGTGCCCTCTAGGTCTAAAACTCGGGTAAGTGATTTTTATTTTACCATTTTGAACTTGATTTTAACATATTTAAGAAAGAATCTGTTTTTTCTGTTTATTAACATTAACATTTCCAGATTTGCTAAAAAAAGAAAAAACCTTTTATGTCAGAAATCTGCAGCCAGGAAAAATGCTGCCACTGGCGCACGATATCCCAGTGAGCCATGAAATGCTCCATTACCAAGAAGCCTTCGTTCTTTGAGCTGAATAAATAGCGGCCATCCCTGCTCTCCACCTGCGATGGGCTCTGGAGCCATTTTGCTCACAACTAACAAGAGGTCCATTGATCAGGCAGCCACTGAGACAGTCTCATTATGGTTGCTCACCCTCCAGTCTATCAGCTCCCCTCTCCATCCGTCTCTTTACTCGCCAAAAGCAGCCGCGGCCTCATCATTTGGAATCAGCTCCGTTGCTCAATCCATGACGGTCGCAGGCGATTGTTTTACGCTTTTACACTTCTGCTCCAAAGCCCAGTTTTACGAGCGCTACCCGCAGAGGGGCAATGCTTTACGACAAGCAATCTAGGTGCGTTAACCCCCTCGTGTGTTGCAGAGCTGGTAATATTAGGAGCTTTCATCCTGTTTTGATTTAAACTTTATGTAAATGATGGTGAGTGGAGCACGTACATTAAACTGGATCTGGGCGTAGTCAGCGTGGTCCTGTCGGATCTGGAGGTACTGAGAAGGAATGGACAGCAGCTCCCACTCTCCATCATTCGTGAACTCCCTCTTATCGTTAGCTATGGCCTCTGCGCTCCTCCACAGAGCCAGGTCGATTTCTCTCACTGCAGATGGAGACATAAATTGAAAAAGAGGATGAAAAACTGATGATAGACTGATGGAAACAGCAAAATAAAGCACAAGTGTTTGTTCTCTGCTTGTATGGTGTTCTCTCCCTTTTGCTGCACCGTAGCAGAAAGACTTCAGGGTTTCTGTGTAGAAATACGAGTGGAGTTAACTGGAATCGGACTTTCGTGCTGCTTCAGGTCAGGAAACTCTTAAGATGTAAGAAGTTCAAAGAGAAAATATCTTCTGGAGGCTGTTTCACTTCCTGCAACATCTTTTGTTTATTTGTGTCACTTTAATTAGTTATCCTACAGGTTGACTTTACCCAAGGAGGTTAATCTGAGCAAAAGATGGGACTTAGATGTGAATCATTTGCTGCTTTTCTGTCTAATTTGATATCTGTTTCAAGACTTTTGCTGATTTTCTTTTGTTTAACTCAGCTCTGGTGTGGTTTCAGGGCTTTTGTAGGTATTTGAACTCCCACCCAGGTTACACCTATCAATCAATCAATCAATCAATCAATCAAAGCTTTACTTATAAAGCACCTTCCGCAACCCTGTCGGGAAGCCCAAGGCGCTGAACATGGTATAAGATAAAGTTAAATATGGTGAATAAATCGAAAATCAAAGCAATTCAAATTACAAAAAAGGTGAAACATTCTAGTAGAAGACAAACGGGTAAAACAAGGGAGAGAGTGAACCAATGAAAACAGGGAAATAAAATCAACATACAAGAGGGCCAAATTCAAACAAGTTCAGGAAACGCCAAGCGGAGGAGGTGTGTTTTTAGGTGATTCTTAAAGACTGGCAGAGAGGGGGACAGCCTAACTGAGGGTGGCAACTGGTTCCAGAGTAACGGTGCTAGGACTGAGAAAGCCCGGTCTCCACGGGTATGACACCTAGAACGAGGGACAGCGAGCAGGCCTTGGTCAGAGGAGCGCAGAGCGCGTGATGGGGAGTGTCTGTTCAGGAGCGTGGCCAGATAGGGGGGAGCACCACCCTGGAAGAAATGATAAACAAAGATGAGGAGTCTGAAGTGTGAACGATAGGAAATCGGAAGCCAGTGCAGGGAGGCCAGAACCGGACTGATGTGGTCCCGTTTCCTGGTCCCAGTCAGGAACCTGGCAGCGCTGTTCTGCACAACCTGTAGGCGACGCAGTGTTGACTGACCCAGTCCTGCATAGAGAGAGTTGCAGTAGTCAAGCCGAGAAATTACAAAGGCATGCAGTACCCGCTCCAGGTGGGCTCTCGACAGCATAGGCTTGATTTTAGCAAGGCGTCTCAGGTGAAAGAAACTGGACCGGATCACAGAATTGATGTGAGCATCAAATTTAAGTCCAGCATCAAGTTTCACCCCCAAACTGGTAACAACTGGTTTTGAGTAGGGAGAAAGAGGGCCACAGTTGACACAGTTTTCATTGGTCTAGAATGTTTCACCTTTTTTGTAATTTGAATCGCTTTTATTTTCTGATTAATTCACTATATTTAACTTTGTACTGTACCATGTTCAGCGCCTTGGGCTTCCTGACAGGGTTGCGGAAGATGCTTTATAAATAAAGCTTTGATTGATTGATTGACTGATTGATTGAATAAAGCCCTTAAAAACCCACTAGGACAAGACATTTTTGTCTGCCACCTTTGTGACATTTCAGTGGTTCCCAAAGTTGGAGTCACCATGGGGTCTCGAGATTATTCTAAGGAATTATAATACTGAAAAACAACTGCTGAAGTAAAACCTCTAGCATGATTGTTACACAGACTCAAGTAAATGAACATAAATGAACATGAGCTGAAGCAGTTTTCTTCATTCCCTGAAATACGGATCTTTCTAAGCATGTTTGTGTTGTTAAATCAGAGGCATCTGGGTCACATGTCTTGACAATAGCTGTTTAGAGGATCTGGAGCTGAACAGTTTGTCCTAGACTGCAGGTCAGGACTTCTGAGTTAAGCAAAGTCCTAAACATCTTTTGGAGCAGAAAACATTCCATTTTTCTGCTTATCCAAGAAGAAGCAGGTCCAGGATGGAAACACAAACGCCCATCTCCCCAACACCCCCGTTGGACCCCAAGGTGCTCCAAGGCCAGACAGGAGACATCATCCCTCCAGAGAGTTCCGGCTCGTCTAAGATGTCTCCTCCCAGTGGAACATCTCCAGAGGGAGAAGACCAGGAGGCACCCTAATCAGATGCTTAGTGACCTCAGCAGACTCCTTTTGATGAGTAGGAACAGCGGCTTTCCTCCGAGCTGCAGATTAAGGAAATAATCGCCTCATCGGTAAGGCTGGGTCCAGCCACCCTACTAAGGAGGCTCATTTTGGTATCTGGTAGATCATTTGGACCAGAAGATTGAGAGCAAAGCCTTCACTCTCATCTCCTTCTTCATCACAACAGACCAGAAGAACACCCTTATCACTTAAAACGAGCCCTAAACCATCGGTCCAACTCACGCTCCACCATCCTCCCGAGAACACGATGCCATGATACTTCAGCTCCTCCACTTGGGGCCCAACCCAGTAGCTCTTTTGGTTTATTGTTTTCAAAATAAACAGTTGTTTCAGCACATTTCACAAAGAAAACTTCTATGTAGCATCTTTTGTGGCCTGCCACTGACTTTTCTGTCCCTTTCTTGCGGTGCAGGTCCTGCAGACTGCCTGTGTGTGTGTGCACATGTTCTTAGCTTTAACTTTGGATTTTAAACTTTCAAACACAGTGTTTTACTTGATTCTATAATTTCAGTGATTTTCTGATCCCAAACTGGGATTGTGCACGTCCTAATCTGCCTCAAAATAGTTGAAATGTCAAAAAGGAAAAGAAATGTCGTGAAGATAGTTTTCAAAGTAATGTTTTCTAGGTTTTGACCGTATGCCAGTGCTGAGTTCAAAGCAGACAGGGACAGAAAGGAGAAGCACACCTGAGTGAAGCCAGCTCCGGAAGGTGAGACTACAGTTCTGCTTGTCAAAGGGAAAGGCGTACATCTCCAGGCTGCAGGCTAGGACCGCCTGGATCGGCCGGTAGTTCTTCACTGAACCAGAGGAGTTGACATAAACGAACGGGATTGGAGGAGACTTCCCTTCTTCCACGCTGGAGAAACACGCACAAGACGGAGGAACTTAGAATGTTTGCTTATGAAACTCTGTAGTTAAAAATCCCAAAGAAATGTTAGAACTGAAAGATTTGATGACACTAAATCACGGAGCTGATAGCAGAAATGTGTCCTACAACTCGCTGACGATGACATCTGGGACCCATATGGCGTCGGATGGGAGCGAGATCTCGTTGATTCCATCGAATTCTTCAGGATCCCAAACCAGGAACTCATCCCTCCAGATCTGGAAACAGCAGAGGAGGCTAACGGGTAACCGTCTCCCAAACTCAACATTTGAATGTTAAGGCACAAATGTTAAACGACTATGTTGCACACAGTTCTTTAAAACGTGTTAAAACACACAAAAGCCTCAGATAAAGCAGAAAGACGACGCCGACGGACCGCCTACCTGTCTGTACCAAATACTTGTGGTGATGCTCTGAGTCTTCCCATCCTGAGAAACAAAAAGTTCAGCTGGACACGTTAAAAAGCTCATTATAGAAGATAAACGTGAAAACGATGAGCTGATTGCTCGGGTCGTCAGATCAGAGGATTTTACTTCTCATGGTGCCTTTGGGAAAATGTCTAGGAGGACTTCAGGAGTCCTGAGGTGTAAATTACTCTCTGTTTGTTCTAGCATTAAAAATGAAGCAAAGATTTCTACAAAAAGAATAATAATAATAATAATAACGGGTCACTGGAGTGAAGACAGCTCTTCACAACTCTTATCAGAACATTTTGACTCAGATCAAAATGATTATGTTCTTTAGTTCTTTTAAATGCCACAGATTTTTATTCTTTTCCTAAATTGTTCCAGTGCGAAACCCAGTTTTTCACTCTTTAAAACATGATATGAAAAAATTATTTTAGTCTTTACAACTGATCAATTTACTGTCTGATGTTTATGAATGAAGTATTTAGTAACTTTCTATTGTGTAAATATATTATAGAACAACATGTTTATGCATTTAGCAGACGCTTTTGTCCAAAGCGACTTACAAGTGATAATCGGCATGTTGCCCTTGAGGCTAACAACAACAACAACAACAACAACAACTGGACATCAGTCATGGAGAGGAGGGAACAAGGAGTGGACGGTAGAGAGGGGGGACGGGTGCAGGGAGGGTGCTAGTTTAGAAGATGCTCTCTGAAGAGCAGGGTCTTCAGGAGTTTCCTGAAAATTGAAAAGGAAGTTCCTGTTCTGGAAGTGCTTGGAAGGTCATTCCACATTTGTGGAACGATGCATGAGAAGAGTCTGGATTATCCTGAGCGTGGTGTAGGCACTGCTAGCTGACCATCCCGTGATGACCGGAGCGACCGGGCCGAGACGTAAGCCTCGACCCGGCCCGGTTGCGTAAACAACATAAATAAATAAAATAAGCCACCTTTAGACCCTCCACTAGAGGGCAGTAGAGGGTCTGGTTTATTTCAGGTTTTTGATGAAGGTACTAATCCTAATCCTCTATCTGGATGCTTTAAAACCAGAACAGGTTTGAGGTTGAAGGGGAACTAGGCAGTTTAGGCTTGCTTTTAGCACCCCCTAGTGTCCATTTGTAGAACCAAAAGCAAACCCAATCTCCTCGCTTTGTGTTCACACCTTCATCTAACAGCTGCAGTGTCTCCTCAGTCTTCCTTACTGTCTACAGGAGTGATTCATCACTAAATTAAATAAATCAGCTGTGCTTATGATCTGAAGCATACAGGAAATGTAATGGAACCAGACTACAGTGCCACATATGTCAGTCTGAAGTTGCAAGTGAAACATCCTGGCCACAGGGGGTGATAGGGGCCAGGTGGCCTTTCATGAACAACGTAAAGGGTCATTTTAGCAGATACTGGCTCAATAAAATTATTTTAAAATATGGAAAGTTGCAAAGTATCCCTTTAATTTGTGACAATAATCTGCAACCTCTTGGGAAAAAGCTTCTTATTTTATTTTCTTCAAAGAAGCATTTTTGGCCAATAGAAGACAAGAATTAATCTGAGGAGCAAAGCGAAGTTGACCTACAACATCGAGGACAGACTGGAGTACGAGGTCTATGTAGACGGTTGTGGAAGTGGTCCAGTTGTGGACGGGTCGAACGCCACAGTCATATTTCCTCAGGAGGGTCCGGGTCAGCTGGTTCAGAGCAGATCTCTTAGGTTTCTCTGGAACACATTCAGCCAGAGGAGCTAAAAATCAAAAACAGATCACAGTTCAGACGAACGAGGGACCACACGGAGTGTTGCACTCACGCTGCTCAAGCATCCAGAGACAAATAAAGCCATTTTATAAATACTAATTACGGATTGATTTCTAGAGTTTCAGGTAAAAAGTAATGAAGTGATTAAAAAAACTTTTGACTATGTAGTTTAATGTTTTGGAGACATGACTGGTGGGGTGAGCTTGTAAGTTCTGCTAAAACATTAAATGATGCTTGAGATGTGCTCCTCTAATGCCAGTGCATGTAGATATTTTTATACATGCTGTAAGTCAAAAGGTGCATGCTACATGTAGTCTTTAAAAGTGTTAAAATCATAAAAACACTGCAGTCAGTATTCAGCTTCGTAATTATTTTAAATGTAAATGTTCACAAAATCATTGAAGAGGGCTTACCTGAGAAAAGCAGAGTTAACCAAAGGTGAAGCATCAAGCTAACGTCAGTTGTCCAGATTAGAGATGATATTTAAGGGTCATGTCCAGATATTTTCTCTGTTAGAACAACAAACAAACATCCACAGTTTAAGCAAATCTGCAGCACAGCGGAGTGAGGGGCAGGAACAACGGACGGGCTGTGAAGACATTTTGGTTGCATGTATTGATTTTCTGCAGTCGGGGTAAGATGATACGTTTGATAAGGAAACACTGTTAGGAGAAAATGCCCAGGTTGGTTCGGTGCTGGATGAACACTTCAGAGGGTGGAAGCCATTTAGGAAGCACAGGTAGAGCCGTACAAACAGAACAGAAGGATTGGGGAGGGCAATGATGCTTTGGAACACTCAGATTTTTAATTAAGCATAGAAAATTGTGACTAACGTTTGCAGTCTCATAAATCCTGTCTCTTCCAAGTCTTAATAAAAGCTGTGTGTCCTAGACTCTCTTATATACATTAACTGAACACACTTTCCCTCAAAAAGACCAACCAAGCTGATGTGACCTAGGACAGACTTCAACTTTGAAATAAATTTCAGTTACATGCTTCGGTTCTGCAGCTTGCATCTGGTGAAATTATCACAAAAACAACTGAACTACTGTAAATAATGCTTAGGGTCTGTCCTCAGCAGGGGGCACAAGGGGGGCCAAGGTGGCTGTCAGGGTGGCCCAGCCCCACTGTGGACCCCTGAACAACCGCCTCTGAAAAACACAACATAAGAGAAAAGATAACAGAGTCACTAGTCCCGAACACCCACGGTGTTGTCACTTAAAGTGGCACAAATGGGCTCCCATACAATTCTGGAATCATGGAATACTTTCATTTCCCGGAAGTAAAGCTGGAATTTTTTTGTGCGCCAATATTTTCTCCAGCGCTGCTGACTCATCTGCACTCAAACGAAAGGCTGTCTGTGCGGTGTGCACGAACCCTGCGCCAGCTCAGAGGCACGCGCGCGCCCTGAAAAGCTCGCGCGCGCAGCTGGCTGGTGGCTCTCGGCGCGTGACAGATGGAACCTCTGCGAGCAGGAGGCAGAGCGGTCAAGATTTGATTTGTTTTTGGTAAAAACGGAAAGAAATCAAGCGTTTTGACGGAAATGAGAGCTGAACAGGCTGAAGATGGAGAAAACCCAACGGACCCGGTGAGACGGAGCAGCCCCCCCCCCCCCCCCCCCCGGTTATTAACGCTCTGACTGATGTGTGTCTTCATGTCTGTTCTAACACTAACACCCTTTGTTGTGTGGACAAAACCCTACAAACAACATAAATCTTTATTAATGTTCTAATGTCTTATTTATTTATTTATTTATTGCATTTAAATAAACCTGTGACCATAAAACAAAAAGTAATTATGAAATAATTCATAAATTCGGCTCATCTCTGTCACTAAATTACATTTAAATAAAATGAATTTATTCCTGACATATCAGTGTTTTCAATCATTTCAATTTACATTCAAGTCGTCATCTGAATTATCAGCCATCAAATAAGCATTAATAATCGCCTTTATACACTGTAAAAAATGATCATTTGTGTTGTGTGTAGGGCAAAACCTCCCAGTGTTTGTCTGTTTGGTATTGATGTTGGTGGTGTGTCTGGGTGAGAGAGGCACCCAGTGCCCAGTGGCTTGGTGAGTGGAATGATAAACAGAAGCCTGTGCTATCCATGTCAGAAGCCTAAAATAGAGGCCAACTAAGCGGGTCTCAGATTGCCCTTGCTCTCCATATAAGTCTGCTCATCCTGATCTTGGCTTCTTGTGTGTGTGTGTGTGTGTGTGTGTGTGTGTGTGTGTGTGTGTGTGTGTGTGTGTGTGTGTGTGTGTGTGTGTGTGTGTGTGTGTGTGTGTGTGTGTGTGTGTGCGCGCGCGAGTGAGATACAATGACATGAGCATCTGCTGTCGGGACGACAAGCTTTATTTAGCACCTCTCACCCTGCAGAATGGTGCTATATTTATATGCGGCTCTAAGGTCACAGCATTTGTGTTGGGATGCTGGCGTAAACCATGCATATCAGCAGGTTAAAACAACAAATGCAAAACTTGAAATGAGGGAGGAGAAGTGAATCCACCCATCAGTAAACTTTCTTTAAAGTTGCATATTGTTTGTTCTGTTCCTTAAATCCTGTTTGTGTCGCCCTGCGTTTGATGTGCTGCAGCGCTGCTCGGCTGGAAGCTGCCACTTCCTGCTGTGGTTGTCTGATTTCTGAATTGTTTCCAGCATGATGATGTTTGATGTCTAAACGTAGCTCAGTTTGATCTGTGATTGTTCTGACGTAAATGGGCAATGCTGTGATCATAAATGTGTTTTTGTTATTTCATGAGTCAACAAGTGTCATTACCTTTGGTTCAAAACTGGGATTATGAAAGGAAATGGCGATAAATGGTGGGAAAAATAGGAAAATACACCTAAAATATAACCCACTTATGATTCATTTGTGTTTCTGCTCTCATCAGTGCAAAATGCTGATGAACCAGCTGAAGGAGATCACTGGAATCCACGACCAACACACTCTCTATAAAGCCCTGAAGGTATCCAAACGTCTGCTGGCCGCTAAAAGCATCTTTACACTTTTAAAAACGAGACATGCTACGTTTCCTCAGACACTCACCTCTTATGTTCTTAAATGAAATAAACAAGAAGCCTCCAGATCATTATTTGATCAACATTAAATAAATGACATTCATTAGGATGTGCATTACTTAAACCTTCTAACTCAGCAAGAGTTGTTTTTACCTTGTTTTGCTGACGTGTTGAATTCACACTGTAGTCTTCCTCAGAGCTTCGCCGCTGTTGGTGAAATGCAGACTGAGCATCCAAAAAATGTCATCAGAACATGAAAGCAGAATTAAATCACATGTTCCTCTCAAGCAGGTGGTTTTCTCCCAGTACTTAGGTTTTTTTATTTACCTGCTTATTAATAAAATAAAAGACTAAAATGTGAACACAGTTTGCCGATGATTCAAGTTCTTTACATTATTATCGGTATCTCTTTTCAAGGCGAGTCAGGGGGATGTCGGGCATGCAGTGGGGTTGCTAACGACGCAAGCCGCAGAGGTTCAGGAGCCTGCAGAGCCGCAGGAGTCGGGGTCATCTGTAGAGACCTGGGAGGGCCAGAAAGGTACGCTGGGAACACGAGTCCTCACACTGAGACGAGGCTGACGGCAGGAAAATTAATCGGAGTCGTTAGAGATCACAAAGGATCAAACAATGTCTCACATTGGTGGGTTTTGTGCTAAAGGGGCCAAAATAAGAGGATTTTCATCTTGTTTTCTCAGGAAGTTTAAAGGATCAGTTTAACACTTTCAAGACATGATTTTGATGTTCCTGCAAGTAAACAAGTACATGAATTCCAAGATCAACGTAATATTTTTCTGCTTTATGACTAAATACTTATAATATGTGGGATCACTAACTGTACTGACAATAAAGTAACTGTTAAGTAAATATCTTGCAGGAATTTCAGCAAGTGAACAGAAACCGATACACCTACATTTTTATCAGGATTTGTTTTTATTATTATAGAAAATACGTTTTCCTGATGTTTCTGACATTTACACGGTAGATGTTTTAGACGTTAGAACCTTTTTTAAGTGTGAGACAATAAATAAAATCATTTTCACAGTTTTTTAATTTTCTCCAGGACTTCCCAAAGATGAGCTACAGACGGCCATCGAACTCAGCCTGCAGGAGTACCACCACGCTCAGGAAGAGGAAGGAGAATTTCACAGGTGCAAGAAAACCATTCACTGGAGGTTTTATCATTTACTTTACTCACAGAAATGTTTTATTTTTAAATGAAACTTTCCTGCTAAACTCTTCTAGGTTGCAACTAATAATTGTTTTTATAAATAAAAAAATAATTGACAAAAATAAGTAGAGATCACATTTTAAAAACTGAAAATAAAATAACATTTTCAGTTCATTCATAAAGTCTAATTAAAAAATAAAAATGTCACAATTGGAAAGAAAGATTGAAATCATCTTAACAAATAAAAATCTAGAATTTTAGCTGATGAAAATAACCTTTCTTATGCCTTTATTTAAATTATGAGCATAAATGCTAAATAGCAGCATCTTCAGAGAATTTCCGCTTCAGAACCAGAACAAGTTTCAGTTCCAACCGATCGTGCTGAAAGGACTCTGATGGCCTGAAACACGTTCGCACAATGATGCCTAGTGGCTTGTTCGGTACAACTAGAAACTAAGAAGCTGCACCGCTGATTTTAGCTGCACACAGACATTTAAAGAGGACTTTTTTTGACACATTTGGGGTTTATCTGGTTTTTACTAACCAATTAGCAAAGCTGTCAGACCAGTGATATAAAACGGGTCATTTTATGAATATTTTAGGGCTCTGGAGGTAAGCGCAGAGGAAAATGCTGCCAGAATGAAGAGGAAGAGATGTGAAGCTCAGAGTGAAATGTGCAGCCCGGCTGACTGGATCCGTCAGGAGGAATGGCCCGTGGGAATCCGTAACGTAGGAAACACCTGCTGGTTCAGCGCCGTCATCCAGGTGAGGGTAATAATTTACTGTAAATGGACTCTTCAACGCAAACTACATCTGCTTCATTACAAACCATTGATGCTTTACCTAGAGGCTTACAAAATGAATGATTATTGCATCAATTTATTTTACAAAATCACCAAATGGGATTTTTCAATTGTTTCTTAGCTTTATTAGTTATTCTAAGCTTTTTTATATAGTTTAGGGGGTATTAGGGGACTGTTGTTTTATTTATTAACACAAAACAAACTTAGTGTCCCTCATTCATGGCAGTTTAAGAAATAAAATGTTTTAGGTTAACAAGTACAGAGTATTCACCATACAATTCACTCTGTAAACAGAGGCGGTCCTAAGGGAGGTCCAGAGTGGGCTAGTGCCACCCTGACATCAAGCTTGGACCCCCACCCCTGCTGAGGGTGGAGTCTAAACATTAACAAGTACGGATTTTTTGCGATAGCTTAGCCTGATGATGTGGAACAAAAAATGAATGCTTCTATGTTAAATTAAAATTCTGAGATAAATATTTTCATGTTGCCTCTGAAATAGATAACTAAGACATCAAAGTATTTTTGTAAAACATTTCAAGTTTGAAATACATTAAGTAACACTAAAGAGTCTTTAACTCTTTAAGCTACTGCTTAGAAACTGGCTTCAGTGGTTCGGCGTAACTTTGGTGGTCCAGGTAGGCACAGGTGGGCAGTGTCTACCTGCTTCATGGCTCTACTGTGCCAGTAGCTCACATAAAGGCTAGCAGTTAGCTTTTTCAGTTCGCCAACCATCAATAAATAGTGCAAGAACAGGTTTGTTTTGTTGTTTTCATCATGGTGGAGCCTGGAAGTGAAAGAGAGAGATTCATTTTTGGGAAGTGAACCAGTGTGAACTAAACGAATAAAAAGCTAAATCCAGAGTGATCATCGGCACGGCCTACACTTCACACTTTCAGTTTCACGTCATCTAAACAAGCAAAGGACTTTTACTGCCAATCATCATCTCTTCACAAAAACATGCAAAATCTTCACCTGTAGCAGGTTTGTTTACGGCGGTTGTAATGTCGCTTTCAACCAGTAGGGGGAGAAGCAGGAAACTTATTAACTGTTGCTTTAAAATGCTGTTGTATTTAAAGTAACTGTAACTGAATTATTATCATTGTATTTTAATCACACACAACATTTTTAAATGCCTGAAGGCATATTTTTAACGTTTTATTACAAATGTGCCTCCCTGACGGCGCAGTCGCCCCCGCTCTAATGTTAGTGTGTAACCTCCCCTGCATTTAAGCCCGAACTATGTGCCACAATTGTAATGATTATTATATTAATAATAATAACAACAACATAACTATTTTTTGTTAATTTGATGTCAACATAATAACGTAGTATCATTCTGGAAGTAAAAACTTCTATATGGATGTTCCCCCTAACAAAAGGTTGATGATGCATTTACCCCTAAATAAAAAAATCATGCTGAATTTTAAAAATAATTATTCGCTAATCTCTGTTTACTGATATCTCAACTATTTAATCCTTTTCCTAAATACAGCATCAACGGTAAAACAATAAAACGATCCTGCTAGGACTTCCTTGTTGTCATTATTAGACACTAATGATGTAGAACTTGGACTGAAAACCAATCTGCAAGAACAACATTATTCTAAATGAGAGCAGACTGGTTTTTATCTGAGCTGCTAATTGTAATATAAGTCCATTCTAGACTGGACTCGCCCGCGCCTATCGGGTGGCTCGGCAGGAACCAGAACTGAGCCAGACGAAAGGCTTTGTGGTTAATTAAGTAGTGATGTGAGGATGGAGCGAGCCTTCTCAGTGGATGTCAGAAACAATGATTGTCATCGTCCATTTAGATGTCTAACCCCCACGGAGCAGATGTTATTATCTGAGACAGAAATGGGGAAATTGGGCTGTGTTGTTGGAATACTAATGGTGTCCAAATTATACACTCCTTTGTTTATTTCATTTTTATTCTCCTGTTTGTGTCCCTGATTTTTGATAACACAGCCTCATTTATTTCCAAGCATATCAGATTGAAGCGGAGTGACCACATGATTCAATTGGCTGCTCACTCGTGTTTAAATTACAGTAAAACCAAACATAATTGAATTTCCTGCTCTAATGGAAAACTCAGAAGCTTCCATCAGTCCGTTATGACATCATCAAATATCTTATAACACAACAACGTGGGACTGGCCACTGACCTCCAAAATAAAAGCTTTTTGACACACATGCTGCAACATGTGTTCCCTTGTGTTCTTTTCTTCTTCTTTTTGTAACAAGTGAGAAAAATAGTCAAGAATCTTATTTTCATGTAAAATAATTATTTATCGCGCTCTGATGCAAATTTACAAAGCAGGTTGTGTTTTTCTGAGCTAATTGTCACAGCTGAGGTTGTGTTTGAGGTTAAATGCAGTTTCTCCAGTTGAAGGTTTGCGTTCATAGCATTTATTTGTATATGTGTGTAGAACTGTAGGCATATGTATGTAGGTATTTATGTGTATACATATAAATAAACTTAACTTAAAAATTTGATGGGAAGTTTAAAGTAAACTTAGGGGCGGGGCTTCCTCCTCCTGTTTTACAGACCTTTTTTTCTGCGTCTGTTTGATTACAGAGATGTCTGATGTCATCGGCCAATACTGGCATTAAAATGTAATATCAGAAATGATCTGTGTGACATAACTTTTAAATATCATACACACGTTATACATCAAACTCTTCAGCTACTTCTCCTCACTCAAAATGTCAAAATATGACAGATCTGAGGTCAAGTTGGATATTTCTGTTTGTTGTCATATTTTGCACAATGTTTAAAGTTTAGGTTCAATAAAAGACGTGTGATGTTAGGTACTTACATTGTTTTATTTACATTGTTTTAGGTGGACCCCTCTTGTATTGGTATCGGTACGTCGGAAATGAAGAGTGAGACTATATCGGAAAAAAGATTATATCGAACAGAAAGAAAGAAAGAAAGAAAGAAAGAAAGAAAGAAAGAAAGAAAGAAAGAAAGAAAGAAAGAAAGAAAGAAAGAAAGAAAGAAAGAAAGAAAGAAAGAAAGAAAGAAAGAAAGAAAGAAAGAAAGAAAGAAAGAAAGAAAGAAAGAAAGAAAGAAAGAAAGAAAGAAAGAAAGAAAGAAAGAAGATTTGTAGAGGAAATTATTTTTTTTACTAACAAAAGTTGAGGAGCTGCAAACTATTTAGTTTAATTCCTCTTTAACCCGTATTTCTTTTGACCTAAATTTCTGTCCGTTTTATATATTTATTACCATTTGTATTTGTCCTTTTTTCTTATTTAAATGAAAATATTTGGTATTTATTTGGGCTGAAAGAATAATTGTTTTAATCGTTGATAAGTTAAAATGTCTTTAAATCATCAGAAACTAAGATTATCCACAAAACATTAGCAGAACCAGCTGTTTAGAGCGTGCTCTGGACTTTAACATATTTATTTTTAATCCTAAATGCAAAATCGATTCTAAATGTCTTTACTAATAAGCTGAAGATCACAGAAAAAAATAAACTTTAGTACAGATAATTTTTGTCTTGGATAGGGTTAGGGTTAGGGTTTTTTTTGGTCACAATTAAAAATGTTTAGATGATGAAACAAATAAAATCTGTTTCCCCCGCCACGCTTGTAGATTCATCGCTACAGCAGGGCCTGTCTGACATCAATTAGGCTAAAAGATCTCAAAACAAACCCACCATAGCCCGTTTTACTTATAGATCAGTTCAACCCAGAAGAACAGCTAAAACCCTGCAAGCCTCACTTTGGTTTGGGGTGAGGTCAAAGATCACAAATCACCCTTTAAAAAATAGTGAACTTTAGTTTTAGTCGTGTTTTTTATAACAGAGAAAAGCAGTCGAGTTCATCCTTAATTTAATTTACTCCTGAACGTCCTATCTGACCTTCAGAAGGTGAATTAAGTGTTTTTGGGTTTTTTTGTTCTGGTTGCAGTCGTTGTTCCACCTGCCCGTGTTCAGGAGGCTGGTTCTCAACTACCATCTGTCAGGGCGATTGCTGGAGAAGTGCAAGAGCCACACAGTGAGTAACGGTTAATAATAACGGGTTATTGCTTCACAGTCATTTTCCTCACACAGCGTTTGGTTTCCAGTCTCCTTCCTGCAGGCTAAATGCTTTGTTCTAAAATAGTAGTCGTCACTCACGAGCTGAGTGACGGCACGAAGGCAGCGGGTGTTTAACTCTTCACTTTGTCACAGGACAAGAGGAACATTGCGTTCATGCAGGAGCTCCGCTGCCTGTTCGCCCTCATGGTGGGCTCCACGCGCCGCTTTGTGGATCCTTCTGCAGCCGTGGAGTTACTGCGAGATGCCTTCAGGACCAGTGAGGCTCAGCAGGTACTACGCACCAGCTAAGCTTTCGAATGATGTATAACGAACTCCACTTAGAAGAAGAAGAAGAAGAAGAGATCATGTCTATAGCGCCTCTCAAGATAAAAATCATGAGGCGCTTCACAAAAACAGAAAATGTAAAAATATTAAAAAGAATTTAGAAAATGGTTAAAAATATATTTAAAATGAGCAAAAAAGAGAGAATTGCGATAAGGCTGTTCTTTTTTATGTCCCAGTCGGTGCCTGTCTGAGGACACCTTGTTATCACGCTCAAGTCCACGGCACGTTCTAGTTTCCACCGCAGCATGGAACTGAACCCATCTGCTTGATGGACGGAGCAGGAACATCTCCTGAAGGAGAAGTTCACAAAAACAGCTCTACTTGGGCTCAACATTTTTAAATTGGAATGTTAATGAGATTTCAAGGGAGAAAACTCACCTTTTGCATCCTTTTGTGCTGCCATGTGGGTCTCTGCATCTTTTCCAAATGTGGGGAAAATAAGTGTTTTGGGAGTTGTTTGCCTAAAACAAGCTGTTTTAAAATGTCCCTATTTGTGATGTCACAAACAGGAAATTAGTATAGAACACCTTCTTACATGTAAGAGAGAGCTGCTGGAGGAACAGCGACTCTACTCCAAGCCCCTCCAAGGTATTGGAGCTTCTCAGCATATAGCAGTGTGAGCGGGGATGGGTGGGTGTGGCCAGCAACAGTTTGCTTTCTTAAACATTAAAAGAAAAAGATAAACAAGAAATGAATTTTCTTGATCAGAGAACAGTAAGATAAGGATTTAAGAGGAACAGTTGAGGGATTAAAACATTTCTTTGTTTTCAGGATGTCAGTGAGTTTTCCCACAAGCTGCTTGAGTGGTTAGAGGATGCATTTCAAATGGCCGCCAATGGAAAGTAAGTTCTTACTCGTTTTTCTTCTACGGACTGAATAAACCAAACATAACAGCTAGTTGTGCTTTCAGGAATGCAGAAGACAAACAACACAATCCCATGGTGCAGCTGTTCTACGGCACCTTTGTGACAGAGAGAAGACATGAAGGTTGGAGCTTCATTTGCATTTTAATTTTCAGCCTCATGAATTTATTTTAATGGCTGCTCTGTGTGATCGGGTTCAGGTAAGTCGCTGTATAACATCGAGCAGTTCGGTCAGTATCCTCTGCAAGTCAACGGCTTCAACAACCTGGACGAGTGCCTTGAAGGAGCCATGGTCGAGAAGGAGATCGAGTCGCTGCACTCGGATCACAATGTGACATCGGGACGTGAGGTGACTGCTTCTCCACCATCAGATTATTTTACTTCACAACGAGTGGGTTGTCAGGAAAAGAAAGTCTTTGTTTTTCCTGCAGAGATGGTTTAAAAAGCTGCCGCCAGTCCTGACCTTTGAACTTTCTAGATTTGAGTTTAACACCCAACTCGGACGTCCTGAGAAGATACATAAGAAACTAGAGTTTCCACAAATCATCTATATGGACCGGTGAGTTTTGTAGTATAAATACAAAGTAGATCCACACTGGAATTGTTTATTTAGTGCTGATTAAGAAAAGACAAACATATGGAGCTTATATTTACCCTTTGGTCTCTAGGCCATTTAAAAACAGGCACATGCACGGGCAGCCAGCTTCTGCAGCAGTTTGAACACATTCACGTTCCTAAATAACATCTGCTTAAAAAAAGACTAAAGCATTATTGTTAATTGACTTTTATTTTTATTTACCTGTTTTAGATTTGATACCTGCGGTCATTTTATTGATTTGTTTGATTCACTTTGGTTAAATGATTGATTTTCAAGATTCAACAGTTGGTTAAATTCAGTTCAAAATCAGAGATCTTGTGCATCCAGCGTTGATATTAGTGACATTTTGGCTTATAAATAAGGCAGAAAACATCTAGATGTTGACCATGAAAATTGCCCCAAAGGACTGGCAGCACACATGGCCATCAGCCGATCACCTATCGACCGATCTCTAGTGCCAACTAAAAGAAATTAGCTTGCATTAGCTACACAAGCTAACTGAGGAATATAAATGAGAGCTTGGGATTTTTTGGCAGATATCTTCATAAAAACATCGAGCGGACCAACGAGAGGAGAGGGGAAGTGAAAAAGCTGAAGGAGCAGCTTGCAGCCCTTCAACAGAAACTCGAGTGGTGAGTCATTTCATTAAAGCTAAAGTTGTCCTAAATCATGATTCAGGAGAGTCAGAATAAGGAGGCCGGAGCTTGATGATCTAATTTAATTTTTTATTTTCTAAAGTTATAAAAACTACGGCTCTGGGCCTTTGAAGTATCCTCTGGCTGACATGCTTCAGTTTGTCCTGGAGTTTGCTTCCACCAAACCCACCAGCGTTTCCCCAGCTGAAGATCTGAGGCGTTCCACATCTTCACCAAGTCCTGCCAGCTACCCAGTCAGCGAGGACCTCTCCAAAGATAGCAGGTCTGCCGGCCAAAACAAATTTATATACCAGGTTAAAACAGAAATCTGGTGTTTTTTCCTCAGATGGCACCATCTAGAAGCTGAAGAAGTGTATTGCACCATGGAGCCCCTCTCCCTACTTCATGATTACAGCTAGAAACAATGCCTCGTGTTTGTGAACGTGCACCTCTAGCTTGTTTTACAATCACTATTCATATTTAAGTGTGTATATTTTACTGTAACAGAGCATCCTTTGTACCTTTGTCGTTGTGCCCTTGGGCAAGACACTTAACCCACCTTGCCTGCTGGTGGTGGTCGGAGGGACCGGTGGCGCCAGAGCTCGGCAGCCTCGCCTCTGCCAGTGCGCCCCAGGGCAGCTGTGGCTACATCGTAGCTCATCACCACCAGTGTGTGAATGTGTGTGTGAATGGGTGAATGACTGATTGTGTTGTAAAGCGCCTTGGGGGGTTCCAGGACTCTAGAAGGCGCTGTATCAAATACAGGCCATTTACCATTTGTTCTGTTTATAAATTCTCACCAGTGAACCTGATGAAATGGATTCTTCTGAAGGCTTTGTGTCCGTCTGCCAGAGGACACCCATTTACAAGCCATTCACTCAGTGCAAACCCCCCTCTGAGTGTCCTCCACACCCAGCGCCTCACAGCATCACAGAAGAAGAGTTGCACTTTGTTAAGACCTGCCTTCAGCGCTGGAGGAGTGAAGTAGAGCACGACATAAACGGTGTGAAGACAAAATCTCCTCATTAAGTTTGTATGTTTTAATGTAAACTGTCGTATGTGTGCTTTACTTTGGACCTATTCTGTGTTTACCTTGCAGAATGTTGGTGTTTTATCTGCAGCTGAGTTTGTTTTGTTTCTCTGGTTGTGTGCAGAGCTGAAGGCCAGCATTGACAAGCTTAATCAGATGCTCGAGGGCATTTACTCAGATAACAGCCTCTGCCAGGTAAGGCAGTTGATCCTAGAAGAAGACAGCGACCCGAGTACATGTTTTACATCCACAGCCGTAGAACGTGCACCGTATAAGATCAAATTCAACATTTTCCACCTTAGGCGATGTAACAGCAGGTTAAACTGAAGTTAATTAAACCCTCACCGATGAAGAGAGTCGGTTACTTCCTTCCTGCACAGGTGCCGTACAGACTCCACGCAGTGCTGGTCCACGAAGGCCAGGCGTCAGCGGGTCATTACTGGGCGTACATCTATGACCACGCCAACCAGCGCTGGATGAAGTACAATGATGTCAGCATCACTGAGTCCTCATGGGAGGAGCTTGAGAGGGATTCTTTTGGAGGCATGACCAACGCCAGTGCGTACTGCTTGATGTACATTGATGACAGACTCCCCCACCTGATCACAGGTGTGTATCCAGCTACAGTAAATAGCTATTTAAATATGGCAACTTCTCTAATAGTCAACCGAGTCAAGGATTTTTCACTTTCACTGGCATGTGAGACCACTTTAGGGGCAGCAGCAGCTCAACAGGTGGAGCGGGTTGTCCAGTAATCAGAAGGTTGCAGGTTCGATCCCGACTCCAGACAGAGAATTCTGCTGTTGTGTCCTTGGGCAAGACACTTAACCCACGTTGCCTGCTGGTGGTGGTCGGGGGGACCGGTGGCGCCAGTGCTCGGCAGCCTCGCCTCTGTCGGTGTGCCCCAAGGCAGCTGTGGCTACATCGTAGCTCATCACCACCAGTGTGTGAATGTGTGGGTGAATGGATGAATGATACACTGTAGGGTAAAGCGCCTTGGAGTCCTTACTCTGAGAGGCGCTATACAAGAGCGGGTCATTATCATTTAGTTCGTATGGACCTGTTTCCACTATAGGAGAATCTTCTGGGAGGGCGAAGCGACTAGAAGTACGAGGCGTGGTCCTCTCAGCTGTCGGAGCTTTCGGTTTTAGCTAAGACTTTTGGCAGGGAGTGACATCACTGATCAGATGCCAAAAGGCATCCACGAACATTAATAACATCAATATCAGTC